ATTTAAGGGGATGTTTTCTTGCCAAGCTACCCCACACATCTAATTGCCTCTACTCCTCAAGACAACAATTTGAACAGACATGCAGCTATTACAGAATGTCATCATGCAAAAGAGTTAACGCTCAGATGCTACTGGATCGCTAACAACAACAACAACAACATACACAGGAGTACAACGATATCTCTCAGCACAGTTTATTTCTCAATTATATAACGATATTTATTAGCACAGTTCTCCACAGAAGGGAAAAAAACACTGCTATGACGAATCAGAAAGAAGAGTTGGTTGTAGAACTGTTAACCCGGCTATAGACAGTGAAACATCTTGTCAGTTTGTTAGTGTTTGAGCACGTGAAATCTGCAGCTTGTGCTGTATTCTTCACAAGTGGCTGAGAATGTTTCTGAGTGTTCTCGAGTCTGCTGGGGTAATGCTGTAAGTAGTTGTAAAGCACATAGAGCTTGCTGAAGAGCGTGGATATGAGCTATACAAATGCAATTATTACTATTATTGTTAGAACTATTATCATTAACTGACCTGTAAAGATCTGACCTACAAAGACACCTGCAAAAACAGCTTATCTAAGTTTGGAGTAGATGTTAGCATCTGGGAAGAAATAGCTGAGGGCAGGAAAACAAGGAGGAAAATGATAAAAGAAAGAACTAAAATGCTAGAGAACAGCCTTAGAAACAACCAGGCTGAGAAGCGCCAGCGACGAAAGGGAAACAGCGGAAATACAGAGCTCGATCCACGTCACTGACATGCAAGCACTGCGACAGAATCTGCGCTTCAAACATAGGAAGAATTAGCCATGAAAGAAGCTGCATGAAGACAACCTTGAGACCATCTTAAGTTAAATTGACCATCTGCATAGACGAAAAGAGCCATACAGTGTTTGTGTATGTGTATACAACTGACCTGTCCATGAGGAATGTGTTCCAGTCCAGGGCGGGGATCTGGTAGGTGGAGCCAGTAGGGGAGCGATGGAGCTCTCCGGACCTCACGTCCTGCAGGACTTGTTGCCACACGCCTGGTGAGGACATGGGAGGACATGTGGGGAGACGGGACATGAGGACATGTGGGGAGACAGGACGTGAGGAGGACACACGAGGGGAGGACAGAATAAGAGATTTGACACATTACCACAACATGATTATTTTTTTTCTCAACTCAACCAGGAAGCACATTTTGCACAATTGAACACTTTCTGTTTGGGGCTACTTAAAATAATGCATAACGTCATCTTTCAAACAGAATTTTCAATTCAGTCTTATAAACTGAAACTTAAAAAGGCAGACACCAACGTGTATGCTATGAAATAGGTCACTTTGTGTTTGTGTATGTGTGTGTGTGATGTGCATATGATGGTTGGAAATGTGCCACAACATTGTCGTTGGTCAGCTGCTGACCAGACATATGTATCATGGCGCGGTGGAATCGTTTAATGGCATCATCTTAAAGTTGTTCATTTGTCTCGCTTTTGTTTAAAAAATACCCATCCATCTTGAATAGGAGTCGAGATAGCTGTTTCCAGCACGTCACCACACACACACTATTTGACACGTGCACAGCGGACTGACCTGTGGAGACAGAGAGACCCTTGACGTCCATCTGGTACTGTCGGTCTTCGATGACCGCCCCGGGTTGGTGGGTCAGGCCTGACTGGACCGCTCGGACGTACACCTCCTTCTCCTGGGCTGACCTGTGGGGGGGGGG